AGCCCGCTCCTGTGCCAGGTAAGTCCACTACGGGGCTCACCATAGCCCGCTCCTGTGCCAGGTAAGTCCACTACGGGCTCACCATAGCCCGTGCTCCTGTGCCAGGTAAGTCCACTACGGGCTCACCATAGCCCGCTCCTGTGCCAGGTAAGTCCACTACGGGGCTCACCATAGCCCCGCTCCTGTGCCAGGTAAGTCCACTACGGGCTCACCATAGCCCCGCTCCTGTGCCAGGTAAGTCCACTACGGTGCTCACCATAGCCCCATAGCCCGTCCTGTGCCAGGTAAGTCCACTACGGGCTCACCATAGCCCGCTCCTGTGCCAGGTAAGTCCACTACGGGGCTCACCATAGCCCGCTCCTGTGCCAGGTAAGTCCACTACGGGGCTCACCATAGCCCCGCTCCTGTGCCAGGTAAGTCCACTACGGGGCTCACCATAGCCCGCTCCTGTGCCAGGTAAGTCCACTACGGGGCTCACCATAGCCCGCTCCTGTGCTAGGTAAGTCCACTACGGGGCTCACCATAGCCCCGCTCCTGTGCCAGGTAAGTCCACTACGGGCTCACCATAGCCCGCTCCTGTGCCAGGTAAGTCCACTACGGGCTCACCATAGCCCGCTCCTGTGCCAGGTAAGTCCACTACGGGCTCACCATAGCCCGCTCCTGTGCCAGGTAAGTCCACTACGGGGCTCACCATAGCCCGCTCCTGTGCCAGGTAAGTCCACTACGGGCTCACCATAGCCCGCTCCTGTGCCAGGTAAGTCCACTACGGGCTCACCATAGCCCCGCTCCTGTGCCAGGTAAGTCCACTACGGGCTCACCATAGCCCGCTCCTGTGCTTAAGTCCACTACGGGGCTCACCATAGCCCCGCTCCTGTGCCAGGTAAGTCCACTACGGGCTCACCATAGCCCGCTCCTGTGCCAGGTAAGTCCACTACGGGCTCACCATAGCCCGCTCCTGTGCCAGGTAAGTCCACTACGGGGCTCACCATAGCCCCGCTCCTGTGCCAGGTAAGTCCACTACGGGCTCACCATAGCCCCGCTCCTGTGCCAGGTAAGTCCACTACGGGCTCACCATAGCCCGCTCCTGTGCCAGGTAAGTCCACTACGGGCTCACCATAGCCCGCTCCTGTGCCAGGTAAGTCCACTACGGGGCTCACCATAGCCCCGCTCCTGTGCCAGGTAAGTCCACTACGGGCTCACCATAGCCCCGCTCCTGTGCCAGGTAAGTCCACTACAGGCTCACCATAGCCCGCTCCTGTGCCAGGTAAGTCCACTACAGGCTCACCATAGCCCCGCTCCTGTGCCAGGTAAGTCCACTACAGGCTCACCATAGCCCGCTCCTGTGCCAGGTAAGTCCACTACGGGCTCACCATAGCCCGCTCCTGTGCCAGGTAAGTCCACTACAGGCTCACCATAGCCCGCTCCTGTGCCAGGTAAGTCCACTACAGGCTCACCATAGCCCGCTCCTGTGCCAGGTAAGTCCACTACAGGCTCACCATAGCCCGTGCTACATACACCTTGAGGGCCCAGGAACTGAATCTAAAACAACAACAAACGTAAATCATGATACAACCTGAGTCATCACCATTCCATAACTCTTGCTTACCTATTTTACTGCTAGGTGAATAGCGGGATCAGGTGAAAGTAAATGTGCCCAACCGTCTCTGTCCTGCCCAGAGACTAAACCTGAGTCCTTTGGTTGGGAGCCATTGACGTATAGACTACTGTTCTACAGGACACATAACAATCCTTATTCAGGCTGTGTGTCATGTGTCCAGGTCGTCCACTGTGGTCAAGAGTGCCCAGGTCGTCCACTGTGGTCAAGAGTGTCCAGGTCGTCCACTGTGGTCAAGAGTGCCCAGGTCGTCCACTGTGGTCAAGAGTGTCCAGGTCGTCCACTGTGGTCAAGAGTGTCCAGGTCGTCCACTGTGGTCTAGAGTGTCCAGGTCGTCCACTGTGGTCAAGAGTGCCCAGGTCGTCCAGTGGTCAAGAGTGTCCAGGTCGTCCACTGTGGTCAAGAGTGTCCAGGTCGTCCACTGTGGTCAAGAGTGTCCAGGTCGTCCACTGTGGTCTAGAGTGTCCAGGTCGTCCACTGTGGTCAAGAGTGCCCAGGTCGTCCACTGTGGTCAAGAAGTGTCCAGGTCGTCCACTGTGGTCAAGAAGTATCCAGGTCGTCCACTGTGGTCAAGAGTGTCCAGGTCGTCCACTGTGGTCAAGAGTGTCCAGGTCGTCCACTGTGGTCAAGAGTGTCAGGTCGTCCACTGTGGTCAAGAGTGCCCAGGTCGTCCACTGTGGTCAAGAAGTGTCCAGGTCGTCCACTGTGGTCAAGAAGTATCCAGGTCCACTGTGGTCAAGAGTGTCCACGTCCACTGTGGTCAAGAGTGTCCAGGTCGTCCACTGTGGTCAAGAGTGTCCAGGTCGTCCACTGTGGTCAAGAGTGTCCAGGTCGTCCACTGTGGTCAAGTGTCCAGGTCGCCCACTGTGGTCAAGAGTGCCCAGGTCGTCCACTGTGGTCAAGAAGTGTCCAGGTCGTCCACTGTGGTCAAGAAGTATCCAGGTCGTCCACTGTGGTCAAGAGTGTCCAGGTCGTCCACTGTGGTCAAGAGTGTCCAGGTCGTCCACTGTGGTCAAGAGTGTCCAGGTCGTCCACTGTGGTCAAGAGTGTCCAGGTCGTCCACTGTGGTCAAGAGTGTCCAGGTCGTCCACTGTGGTCAAGAAGTGTCCAGGTCGTCCACTGTGGTCTAGAGTGTCCAGGTCGTCCACTGTGGTCAAGAGTCCAGGTCGTCCACTGTGGTCAAGAAGTGTCCAGGTCGTCCACTGTGGTCAAGAGTGTCCAGGTCGTCCACTGTGGTCAAGAGTGTCCAGGTCGTCCACTGTGGTCAAGAGTGTCCAGGTCGTCCACTGTGGTCAAGAAGTGTCCAGGTCGTCCACTGTGGTCAAGAGTGTCCAGGTCGTCCACTGTGGTCAAGAGTGTCCAGGTCGTCCACTGTGGTCTAGAGTGTCCAGGTCGTCCACTGTGGTCAAGAGTGTCCAGGTCGTCCACTGTGGTCAAGAGTGTCCAGGTCGTCCACTGTGGTCAAGAGTGTCCAGGTCGTCCACTGTGGTCAAGAGTGTCCAGGTCGTCCACTGTGGTCAAGAGTGTCCAGGTCGTCCACTGTGGTCAAGAAGTGTCCAGGTCGTCCACTGTGGTCAAGAAGTGTTCAGGTCGTCCACTGTGGTCACAGAGTGTCCAGGTCGTCCACTGTGGTCTAGAGTGTCCAGGTCGTCCACTGTGGTCAAGAGTGTCCAGGTCGTCCACTGTGGTCAAGAGTGTCCAGGTCGTCCACTGTGGTCAAGAGTGTCCAGGTCGTCCACTGTGGTCAAGAAATGTCCAGGTCGTCCACTGTGGTCAAGAGTGTCCAGGTCGTCCACTGTGGTCAAGAGTGTCCAGGTCGTCCACTGTGGTCAAGAGTGTCCAGGTCGTCCACTGTGGTCAAGAAGTGTCCAGGTCGTCCACTGTGGTCAAGAGTGTCCAGGTCGTCCACTGTGGTCAAGAGTGTCCAGGTCGTCCACTGTGGTCAAGAGTGTCCAGGTCGTCCACTGTGGTCAAGAGTGTCCAGGTCATCCACTGTGGTCAAGAGTGTCCAGGTCGTCCACTGTGGTCAAGAAATGTCCAGGTCGTCCACTGTGGTCAAGAGTGTCCAGGTCGTCCACTGTGGTCAAGAAGTGTCCAGGTCGTCCACTGTGGTCAAGAGTGTCCAGGTCGTCCACTGTGGTCAAGAAGTGTCCAGGTCGTCCACTGTGGTCAAGAGTGTCCAGGTCGTCCACTGTGGTCAAGAGTGTCCAGGTCGTCCACTGTGGTCAAGAGTGTCCAGGTCGTCCACTGTGGTCAAGAGTGTCCAGGTCATCCACTGTGGTCAAGAGTGTCCAGGTCGTCCACTGTGGTCAAGAGTGTCCAGGTCATCCACTGTGGTCAAGAAGTGTCCAGGTCGTCCACTGTGGTCAAGAAGTGTCCAGGTCGTCCACTGTGGTCAAGAAATGTCCAGGTCGTCCACTGTGGTCAAGAGTGTCCAGGTCGTCCACTGTGGTCAAGAGTGTCCAGGTCGTCCACTGTGGTCAAGAGTGTCCAGGTCGTCCACTGTGGTCAAGAGTGTCCAGGTCGACCACTGTGGTCAAGAGTGTCCAGGTCGTCCACTGTGGTCAAGAGTGACCAGGTCGTCCACTGTGGTCAAGAGTGTCCAGGTCGTCCACTGTGGTCAAGTATCCAGGTCGTCCACTGTGGTCAAGTGTCCAGGTCGTCCACTGTGGTCAAGAGTGTCCAGGTCGTCCACTGTGGTCAAGAGTGTCCAGGTCGTCCACTGTGGTCAAGAGTGTCCAGGTCGACCACTGTGGTCAAGAGTGTCCAGGTCGTCCACTGTGGTCAAGAGTGTCCAGGTCGACCACTGTGGTCAAGTGTCCAGGTCGTCCACTGTGGTCAAGAGTGTCCAGGTCGTCCACTGTGGTCAAGAGTGTCCAGGTCGACAACTGTGGTCTAGAGTGTCCAGGTCGACCACTGTGGTAACATAGACCTGGTAATAACAGTTGGGTGTTCTATCACTGTGTTCTCGGGACTATTATAATTGACATGATAACACTGTGAATGTCTACCTCTCACCACTGGTTATAGGGGCATATCCAAGATACTAAGTGCCTGAGATTTAAGGTGGGGGCCGATTTTAAAACAAAAAAAGAGGGAAGGAGAGAGAGAGAGAGAGACAAAACAAAAACACTTGAAAATATATAAAAAGAGATAACAAAAGTAGCGTGAGTTGCCACTCACCAATTTCCCAACCGTCGACCATCGCCCAGCTGAGCATCCTGGCCAGGGGAAAAAAAGCAAATCTTTCCTACCTTGGAACAAGGCCCTTGGTTACAACCCCGACAAATATAATATCCACACTATTTTTTTTCCTTAGCACCCTTCCACCACCTACATAAGAGAGAGAGACGGAGAGAATGAGAAAACACGATAAAAATTGGAGATGAAAATTATGCAATCGGCAACGTTTGTGGCAACCATCGACCCTGGCGTCGAGCAGAGTTTCAGTGCCGCCCTGACTGCCGTGGAGGGTATACGTCTCGCTCCGCTCTCATCACGCACACAGAAAAATCATCCTGTCGTGTTGGAGGTGAGATTCTGCTGGTCTTCCCTGCCAGCGAAGTGCAAGTCGGTATTCGTGGAGGCGCTGGATGGTAGTGGAGAGCGAGGGACACTGCCCTGCCCAGGTAGGTAGCGTCGTCATTATGGGCAATAGGAGAAAAGGATGAAAGAAGTGCTGGGGGCGGCCGGCATGGCCTCCCTCAGGAGGGTCGGCCCGACCTCCCTCCTGCAGGAGCTGGAAATCAATCACAATTGCGGACATTCCACGCCCTCTGCCCTAGCAGCTCCCATGCCTTCTGTCCCAGCAGGTCCCACGCCCTCTGTCCCAGCAGGTCCCACGCCCTCTGTCCCAGCAGGTCCCACGCCCTCTGTCCCAGCAGGTCCCACGCCCTCTGTCCCAGCAGGTCCCACGCCCTCTGTCCCAGCAGGTCCCACGCCCTCTGTCCCAGCAGGTCCCACGCCCTCTGTCCCAGCAGGTCCCACGCCCTCTGTCCCAGCAGTCCCACGCCCACTGTCCCAGCAGGTCCCACGCCCACTGTCCCAGCAGGTCCCACGCCCACTGTCCCAGCAGGTCCCACGCCCTCTGTCCCAGCAGGTCCCACGCCCTCTGTCCCAGCAGGTCCCACGCCGTCTGTCCCAGCAGGTCCCACGCCCTAGGGTTTCTGCGGCCAAAAAAAAAAGGCTGTCAATTTTTGTTTACCGTTGATTTTGCCAAAATCTTGTATAAGGTCCAAGTGTTACTGCAGTAAGCGACATTTATCCCGCCCAGACATGTACTAAAGCCGGTGTACATTTAGAAAATTCATTTTCCATACAGAGTAAACCACGACACATTGAAAAATAAGTTGAAATTTCCTCGTATATCTTTCTGGGGGGTGTTAAGTTGAACACTTCCGTTGGAAGACGTTGAACAGGAAGCGAGCTTTTCCAGTCGTTGCTAACGCGCGGCATTAAACTAACAACGTTAACCCGCGGTTAATGATAACTGCAGTGTGGGTTAATTAATAATTTATCCAAATTACCCCAATTTAATGTGAGCGGGTAATTGGTTCATCAATACTGTTCACAAGTACAAGTGGTTGAGTACGGGGCTACGGTCTGCCCGGTGCTGGGCCTCATTTACATAATTATGTTCACATGTTCACTCGTACGGGTGAGGTGTGCAAGTGTGACCGCCGCCCAGCACACTTGTTCACTCTGGCCAGGATTGTGGCGATGCGGACAAATTGTCTTGTATCAAGTCTGCTTCAGAGTGGCAGATGTTGATTACCCGCAAGCCTAGGTAAGGTAATTTCTTCTGATAATTATCTGGACTAGGCTCCCGGTAAATTTACTGGACTGATTTGTACAATACATCTGTACAGTGCACAGGTACTGTGTTTTTACTGTACAGTGCACAGGTACTGTTTTTACTGTACAGTGCACATGTACTGTATTTGACTAGGCTTCCGGCAAGCGTGATTCAGATTAACCAGGCTTCCGGTGGGTGCAGTACTGCACATGTTGTCCATGTAATGGAATTTACTATGAATTGGGTTGCTTATTATCCATTTATTTGTACAGTTTATTTTATTTTGTGAAAAACAATTGCACAAGAATATTAAAGGAATATTTTCTGTTCGTAGATTTCGTAATTTGGGGAATTAATTCTACCGATGCTCGTCCCGAAATGTCCTTTTTTATATATATTATTGAAAGCCGTCTTACCAAAGGAGGTTGAACATAGCCTAAACTACTATATCCTTTTGGTATTATCTCGATAGTTACTTTAACTTTAAGATTTCGCGGTAATTTTAGGCTTGGTAGTTATACTTTGTGAATTTTTATGGGTTTTAAACATTTTGTTTCCAAGTGAACGGACTAGGTTGTTTAGAGTTGAGGTCTATGGCACAGTATTATTAACATCTTTATTAACAAAATTAACATCTTTATTAACATCTTTATTAACAAAATTTAATTAAAATTTTGCCTAATCATGGCAGTGGTCTATATCCTAGACTTGTACCATGGTTCTCTCTCTGGGTAGAACAGAGACGATTGGGCAAGTGTCCTTTTACCTGATAGTATTGTTCAACAAGCTGTAACATGGGTACTCATAGGGAACTGTTGTGGGTCGTTTCATGGGGACGATCAGTAGTTGGCCTAGGAAAACCTGGATAAATTTTAGTACAGGCTTCCTGTCACCGACAATGGGAATTATAATTTGTAGAGCACTTGGCAGTATGGACCTGAAACGTAGAGTACTTAATGGTGCACTTAAAATTTTGGCACTTCAGACCAATAAAAGATGGTTTTGGATTCCATGCAATGACTTTACTCGTGTTTGTCAATCAAATTTAATGATAAAAACCAATTAAGTTTTTGCTCAATAACCAAATGACATCTATTTTATGGCCTTCTGATAAATATCTTTTTCAGTAAGGATGAGAACATGAGAATAAAGGAAACATCATTGACCCATACGAGGCAGCTCCCATTGATATCCACCCAAACTCATTCATACACGTGTTAACCTGAGCTTGAAACGATCTATTGATTCAACCTGTATTGTTGGAATAGTTTGGCCCGTAAATCAACAAACCTGTTTCTAAACCAGTATTTTCCCTGGTCATTCCCGACTCTAAACTTACCTAATTTATATCCAATGAGTACCGTCTTCACACGCACCAATTTGTGCGTGCAAATGATATTCTTCAGAGTACCACTCCGGGAAATAATTTTTCAGCAAATCCAGTATAAAATGATGCATCCCAGACTGATGCCAGGAATGGTTTAAAATGACTTTACCTGGATCACCTCTACTTACAGTATCGGCAGTTGCAATACGGCAGACAGCTTAGAGATTATCCTGTGTAAAGAGTGGAGCAACATGATAGAATCCAAATTAATATTTTCGCCTGACTATTGGTAGTGTGTGTTGGACCTGTATTTGTGCATGGAGTTAAGTCTCGGTTTCCTTAGATATATATATTTTTATATAGTACTAGCGTGAATGTGTTTCCATGATGGGGCAGACAGGTTTATGTAATTAAAGTAACTATTACAATGTAATGCTACGTGTAGGGTTTGGGGAGTTGTTTACGAAGTGTCTTACACACAACTAATAGGTCACTCCTGCAGAACGATGCAAACCTTCGTCAGGGTGTTAATACTACATTTATGACGTCACAGCCGTAATTGGGATTATAGCAGTTACAATGTGATACTTGGGACATCAATTTACATGCATAAACAATGTAATCTCGTACATATAATATAGGTACACATGGTGAAAGCTACACATATAGCTACACTTGCACGACTGAGCAGGACTTGTAAGACATGCCTGGGTGCTCCAGTCTCAGACACCGCTGCTCACTCACGCCAGGTGTGTACTCGTCTAGTTGTGCTTGCGGGGGTTGGGCTTTGGATCTTTGGCCCCGCCTCTCAACTGTTTAATCTGGTGTACAGATTCGGGAGCCTATTGGGCTCTATCAAATCTACATTTGAAACTGTGTAGTCTGCCTCCTCCACATCACTGCCTAATGCATTCATAAAGCCAGGGAGGGGGGGGGGAGTGCTCGCGCGCGTGTGCGAGTCGCCGGGCCAGCGATTATCAGCTCTCATGTTGCCGCAGTTCCGTAACCGTTGCGCACTATTGGTTGTCGTCTGTTGTACTCGCCTAGTTGTGCTTGCGGCGGTTGAGCTCTGGCTCTTTGGTCCTGCCTCTCAATTGTCAATCAACTGGTGTACAGATTCCTGAGCCTACTGGGCTCTTATCATATCTACACTTGAAACTGTGTATGGAGTCAGCCTCCACTACATCTCTGCCTATTGCATTCCATCTGTTAACTACTCTGACACTGAAAGTTCTTTCTAATTTCCCTGTGGCTCATTTGGGTACTCGGTTTTCACCTGTGTCCCCTTGTTAGAGTTCCCCCGTGTTAGTCTATCTTTATCTACCCTGTCAATTCCTCAGTATTTTGTAGGTAGTGATCATGTCTCCCCTTACTCTTGTCTTCCAGTGTCGTGAGGTGCATTTCATGCAGCCTTTCCTCATAATGCATGCCTATTAGCTCAGGGACTAGCCTAGTGGCAGACCTCTGAATCTTCTCCAGCTTCGTCTTGTGCTTGACAAGGTACATGCTCCATGCTGAGGCAGCATACTCCAGGATTGGTCTTGCATATGGTATACAAGGTTCTGAAGGATTCCTTGCACATGTTTCTGAAGGCAGTTCTGTTAGCCAGCCTTGCACACGCCGATGTTGTTATTTTTGTGGGCTTCAGGAGACAGGTTTGGTGTGATATCAACTCCTAGATCTTTGTCCGTTTCATGAAGGACTTCATCTTCCATTCGGTATCCTATGTCTGGCCTCCTGTTTCCTCCGCCTAGTTTCATTACCTTACATTTACTCGGGTTGAACTTTAGTAGCCATTTGTTGGACCATTCATTGTTTGTCTAGGTCATCTTGTAGATTCATACTATCTTACTCCGACTTAATCATCCTCATAATTTTTCCATCATCAGCAAACAATAAGAGGAACGATTTTATACCCTCTGGGTGATAATTTACATATCAGTGCAGTATAGGTCAAAGGGCTGATCCCTGCGGGACTCTACTGGTGACTCCTCGCCAATCTGAGACCACATTAGGGGGGTAGAAATAGCCTAAGCTACTCTCTCTTTGAGATGTATTTCTTGTCTCAATAAACATACTTGAACCGAGACCTCACCCCTCAGTGACTCAGTCTTCTGTTACTGAGGTACTCCCTTGTCATTGCAATGGAGTACCTTCCCTTATCACTCCTGCTTGCACCTCCTGCTTTTGCACAAGTCTCTTGTGTGGTACTTTATCAAAGGCTTTCTGACTGTCCAAAAATGTGCAGTCTGCCCACCCTTCCCTTTCTTGCCTGATTTTTGTTGCCGGGTCGTAAATTCAATTAATCGTGTAAGACATGACTTGCCATCCCAGAACCCATGTTGTTGTCACTAAGTTCCTTCGCTCCAGATGTTCCACTAGCTTTTTTCGCACAATCTTCTCCATGAACTTGCATGGTTTGCAAGTTAGGGACGCTGGCCTGTAGTTCAGTGCCTCCTGTCTATCCCCTTTTTTATATCGGGACTACATGGGCCGTCTTCCAAATGTTTGGCAGTTCACCTGTTACCAGTGATTTGTTACACACCATGGAGAGTGGCAGGCAGTGCTTCTGCTCCTTCCTTTAGTATCCATGGCGATATTCCATCTTGGCCTATAGGCTTTGTCACATCCAACTCTAGCAAGAGTTTCCTTATATTCCCACTGGTAATCCCAAACTCCTCTATTTGTGCCTGCTTAACTATTCCTTCTCTTATCTCCGAAGCTTCTCCTTACTCTAATGTAAAGACCGCCTGGAATTTCTTATTGAGTTCCTCACACTTCCTTGTCGTTTGTAGTGACTGTCTGCCCCTATCCTCAGTTTCATTACCTGTTCCTTCACTGTTGTTTCTCCAGATGTGTGTGTGTAATGGTGGTGATGTGTCCACACCAAGACCACGGCTATCATCCTCACTGCTTCGCTAGCTTAATGTTAGTACTGCAAGGACACGTAATTACTTGGTTGTGCTTGTGGGGGTTGAGCTTTGGCTCTTTGGTCCCGCAAAGCACAAAAC